AGTTCTTGAACCGTGGCGTGACACTAGTCATGTGACTTCGCTGACGCAACAGTACGTATATACAGAAGATTGAATGCGTTATGAAACTATTTTGGTTATGTAAATCATTAAGTTATGTGAAAGTCACAGAGATATAAAGTCGCGGTGAAATGACATCTATAAGAACTAAATTTTGACATTGTTTGGTGTTATGTAGATAATGTGATTCTAGCAAAACTGGTCACTTTTCGGATGCAAAACATTCTTACACTCAGGTCATGAAGGTGTTTCCAAACTTCCTGGACCAAATAATATTTTCCCAATGGCTTCGAAAGAGATTAAGAATTGGATATTTGAGTCACTTGCTACAAATATTTAAAAAGTCCTTGGATAAATGGGCAAGTGCCAGAAGATTGGAAGATGGCTTATGTTACTCCTCTTTATCAAAGGAGGTTGTTTGTTTGTTTTGAATTTCGCGCAAAGCTACACGAGGGCTATCTGCGCTAGCCTTCCCTAATTTACCAGTATAAGACTAGAGGGACGGCAGCTAGTCATTACCACCCACCGCCAACTCTTGGGCTACTCTTTTAACAATGAATAGTAGGATTAATCATCACTTTATAACGCCCCCACGGCTGAAAGGGGCGAGCATGTTTGGTGTGACAGGGATTCGAACCCGCAGATTGCGAGTCGAGCGACCTAACCACCTGACCATGCCGGGCCCAAAGGAGATGGAAAAAAAATAATAGTAGTTATAATACCTGTTAGCCTAACATCAGCAGTGGGAAAAGTTTTTGAAAGTTATAATTGATGTTTTTCAAAATAACACAGGCCTGCGATGGTTTTACTGTCTTGAAATTTGTACATGTTCTACAGTAATTCCTGTACGCTGAATCCGAAAATGATTCCATTTTTCTCCGTCACGTACAAATTTTTCAGAAAACGTCATAACGCAATACATAAAAGAAAGGCCACAACACGTAGTTTTGAGACTAAAAGACGTAGATTTCACAAAAAAATCATGATGAATGAGAATGCATATTCGTTTGACATCAATGTTCTTCCTTTTTCTTCTGTTTGTTTGTATTTTTGTTAACAAACATAATAATAAAAAATGTTCATTGTGGTAAACGAAATAATAATTTGATCTAAGTAATTTTTTCTTCCTGGTTTGTAAAAAATCCTTAGGTGCTAGAAAAAAAGGAATATTATTTTCGAAATCTGGGTAGCTGAAATATGGAAAATCCGTTATTAAAACCAAAACAACTTTTATAAAATTTAAATTCTCAGGCCTGTGTAATTTAACAAAGTTTAAAATGTTGTTGAATAATCAGCATGATTTCAGTAGGAGAAAATCTTTCAAGAGGTTACTGCTTATGTAGATGAGGTGTGTTATATCTTGATTTTTAGAAAACATTTGACAGGATGCCACTCACAAAAGATTTGTTTAAAAAATGATCTCCGTAGGTAGGGGAATAAGTTGGCTCACTGGATAAAAAAATGGCTAGTTCAAAATAAATTTCAACAGCTCTTAAAATGCTATGGGCTAAAATATGTACATTTATAAAATTTAGATTTGAGGCTTGTTGCTTATTGAAGCCATCTAGATGAAAACAAGAATCATAGCAGTCCAAGTTTTTACATAACTTGGAGGTATTATTGGTTATTTACGTTGTAACTTATGTGCTATGCAAAAAATAGGTTATGGGCTTTTGAGACATTTTTTGGGGTTTTATAGGCAAATGATTTGATTATAGGTTTCTATAATGATTAGCTAAGTAATGGAAGCTTTCACTCAGGTTGTCTCATAAATTAACAAAAAAATTAAATTGGTTTTCAATGGCATTTGTTTGCAAGTTCTGAGAACTTGCTTTAATCAAAGAATTATATTAATTATTAATTAGTTACTTTATGTATTAATATAGTATTACCAATTTTAATACATAAACAGTTGCCTTTAGGGGTATATGTTGGTTGAGATATTTACTGTACTGTATGAGAACATATTTATTCCATATCTATTGAATTGAAAATGTGTACAAGAATGATAATGATGGAACTGGCTAGTCGGTCATAAATTGTCAGTTTTTGTTCTTACACTTCTCTACAAATCACAATATTCTCAAGTTGTTAAGTTCACATTAATGTTTTTTACAAGTTATGTCACTAAATTCTGATGCAATTTTTATTGTGATTAGAAAAAACATTGACCAGTTAACATTCTGATTTCCATTTATATTAACTTGAAAAATCATATGCATTTGTTCAAAACATTTTTTGGCAGACTTTCTTATTTGTTTATTTTGCTCTTCTGGAACATTTCCATAATACTTGCCTTCATCTTTCCAATAGTTGTATGATCATCTTGGACTTTTTATATCATTCTCAATATTAAATTTTTATTCATGTGGAGTGTTGGATTCTCTACAATGTGGTTAGAAAGACTTGTGAACTTTACTTCTCACTGCATTGCCTCATTATAATGTAATTTCAGTCATAACTTAGGTTTGAAATGCAATATTTAAATTTGGTAAGTTTTTGTTTTGAATGGAAGATGTAAATTTGTTTCTTACAGGTTTAGTCTTTAGAATGTTTGGTTCTCATTTGAAATTTTATAGGATTTTCCTTTACATTTTTGTTTATCGTAATCTTCAGTTTGATTTCACATCAAATTAAGACAATTGACACAATAGTTATTATGGTTTAAATACATGTTTAATTGTTAAAACATTTCTATTTTGAGAATAAATTAAATTGATCTTTTTTTAGACTAGGTGAGGAAAGGTTTCTTTTATTGTGTATTCTGTGAAAAGAAGTTAAAAACAGATTAACAGCTATGTTTAGCAACAAAAATGTAAATTTTGTAATTATGTTTGTAGTAATAATTATAAATGACCAGACAATGTATGCTATGTGTCGCTAGTGTAATAAATAAATTATCTTAGGATTGTTTAACTGTTAGTGTAATCCTATGGCTTTCAATTGAAAAGTTTTTTTTAGGTTTTGGTTTTGGCTTATAGAATTATATAAGAATTATAGTGTATTTTATTAATTACAATATATGAGTAAATTCATTATTTATATAGTCATGTTATACATGTGATGTGTCTAAAAGATATCTAACTTTTTTGTTAGAAATTAATAGTTTTATTACTTTTTCACTTTTTTAGAAAGAATTTATGAACACAGGATGAAAACATTACCAATATGGGCTAAAGTAATCAAAACTTTTGGCATTGTGATATCATCAGGAAGTTTTAAAAGACCCTTGATATTCAGATAATTAACAATGTGAAATTAGGCTCATCATAAGTATATAATTATAGTGTATCAAAATATGTCTGATGCACTGACAAAGTATTTTTGTCCACGTTTGTTGGACTATGTAGTAATTATTGGTGCTCGTAAGATTAATCCTACACAAAGTGTGCAATCACCAGAGTTAGTTCGATGTTATCCTCGTGAATATCACCAAGATTTTCCTTTACCTCGAGATATGGTATTTTTTTGCCAGCCTGAAGGGTGTGTCAGTGTTGGACCAAAGAAAATTAGCCTACGAGAATCAAATTCTTTTGTTTTTGCTTTAACTGAAAAGGATACCAGTAAAATTCGCTATGGTATATGTGTTAATTTTTTTAGACGAATAGAAAGAGAACAACCTGTAGAAAAGCTTTACCAGAAAGAAACACAGCGGAGTTTTGGAACTGAGCAAGATTTTTCATCATATCAGGATGGAGGCTCAGACTCAGCTTTTAGTGATCAAGCATCAGGGACTACTACAAATCTTAATGATTCTGATATGGAACAACAGAATTTTTATCGACAGAGTCAGAGGAAGAAACGATTGAGAACTCACTCACTCACATCATTATGTATAATAAGTCATCATCCATTCTTCTCTACTTTTCGTGAATGTTTATTTGTGTTAAAGAGGCTAATTGATTCTGCTAATGATCATCTTGGTTTTGGACAAGGAGGATTGTATCAATCACAAAGGTAATAATTTTTTTAACATTTGTAATTCTGTTTCTTACATTGTTGTTTTTTTAGTTGGTACAGTAGTACATAAAAGTCCTGTTACATGTATATCTATTATGCATAGTAATATCATTTAGTCCTTAAAGACTGTCCTTGCACATTCTCCCTTAGGAAATGTTCTTAAACTCTTAAATGCTGGCCTCCACCCCTGCTGATGGCAGGTTGGCAGTTGATTCCATAAGTCAATCACCCTGTTAGAAAACTAAAGCTGTCTTAACTAGAGCCTAGCTTGTCTTTTCTATGCCTTAAATTATGTTCTTAGAATACATCACAAAGAAATCAGAAGCATTTATCTTATCAATTTCCAGGATGATCTTGTAAACTTCTATAAGATTACCTCTTACCCATCTTTTATCAAGAGAAAATAAGCTAAAAGATCTTAACTTGTCCCTGTAGGATAATTCTTCCATCCCTGGAATCATTCTAGTAGCTGTCCTCTAAACCCTTTCCAGTAAGTTAATATTCTTTCCTAAGTTAGAACATCAGAATTATGCACACTATTCCAAGTGAAGCTAAACTAGTGATAGAGAGATAATTGGTAAGTGACATATTTATAGAATAGTGTTGTTTTTAATATGCAGTGTTGTCTTATGACAAGTAGTAAGTCCATGTTCACAAAATATTGTCGAATATGAATATATTAGGCTTTACAAAATTATCCACACACATGTGAAAAGCAAATAGATCTAGTTGTACATTGTAGGAATTCCAAAGAGTAATGAGAATAAATATACAATGCATTTCTACTTTTTTTTCATATTTCAGTATGGTATTATTCTGAATTTATAATTTATTCTGTATATGAACACGTTTAACATGTGGTCAAGAAAGTCGTTAAATTGATGTTATTCTAGCTGTCTTTGTTCCTTGTCATTCTTTAGAAGTCGCACCTTTTCTGCCCATGGAGTCACAGCTGTAATGTTGTATGAATGTAGACAGCAATGTCCTTTAATGGTATTTCAGGTGGTATCTGGTGGAATTGCCAGTCATATGGGTAACACTAGTTGCTCTAGGTGAATCTGATGTTGTTTTCAACATAAGCAATGTTGAGTTTAAACAGTCTGGTAGGGGAATTTGGCTCAGATCAGTTGAATGTAACTAATCTAGTGGAAGTGACTGCCCCATGCCTATAAGGTAAGTATACGCACTATGTTTGTGATAATGTATTGTTTACCTGTACTTTACATTGCATCTAGTCTCTCTCTTTCACAAACTCAGTTACTTAGAGGTTGAGTACTGCTTCATAATAAATATCTTTGAGAACCTTCTGTTATTAAGTGAACTTATCCCATTGCTCTAAGATTAACTCAGTTTTACCTGAATATATCACAGAATGGATAGGAAAGAGGAAATTTTGGTGCAGTGACCAATAGATATTTTATTGTGGAGTTAACTATTTTCTGCTGACGTCTTTATTGCCCTTCATTCTTACTTTACAGTGATATAATTTAAAAAGGCTTGATATCTATGAAATGGCATTTTCCACAACTGGAAAAAACTTACAAGCAAGAGGAACATTTGGTCACTGAAGGGACGGAAGAACAGACGACTGAGGATTGTTGCAGTGGTGGAGTCTGGTGAGTCTGAGACCAAGTGCAATAATCTATATAGGATTCCCAGACCTTTGCCATTCAGAATAATCCAAACCCAATTCTAGTTGAAGCCACCAAAGAACATCAAGAAGAGACTGGAGATACCATTGTTGGACATCTGCCAACAGATGAGACTGTGGGCACAAAATGTGAACTACGTGAACCATGGAACATTGATGAGCCTATCTGATGACAAGTCATTGTTCTGCAGCTCTGAACTAGGGATTGACCACTTGGACAAAAGTCCAAGTCAGAGAGTGTCTAGGATGCTGTGCCATGATCATGATTCCTCAAGAATGATGCAAAGCAGATCACTCCCTAATATTCATGGGTACAGTAAAAGACGACTTAGACCATTTCCAGGATCATTGCAAGCAGGTACCTTCTTGGAACAGCTGGTCTCCAGGCAAGCTGTGCAACACCTTGTCTTTAGTTTAGATGACCTAGCCCTAGACTCTTTATCAAACACTTGAGCATGGAGCAACTGTGGGATTAAAAGATAGTCATTACTGAGTTATACCAGAGGTTGGACCCAATGGAAAATAGCCATCCATCAGACTGGGTCAAGTTTCAGAAGAGGGGTACACTGAAAAACCTGATCATTTATGCAGATGATATTCTTACTTGTATGGAGGCAGTTTCTGTGACAGTGTGTATGAAGATAGAAAGACTGCTCTAACAAGGCACCCATGTATTGCAAGGTTCGAGCAAAGTGAAGGGTCAACCAACCCTACACTTGGGCCTCTCATAGTTTGCAGGCTGCAACTTATGCTACAGAGGCCTCTACCTGAAAGAGAGGAGCAAAGCTCTTGCTTTGCCTGTGAAGCATTAGTATACTGACCATGCCTTACAGAGCAATAAGGTAATCAAGGTTATTGGTATTGACTGATGACTCAGAAAGCAGTGAATACTACTGCTACAGCTCCAGAAAACTAGTGAAGCACAAGCCAGGCCTAGCCTCTGACTTGGAATGTGCAATGAATAACTTGCACCAAAACGTGTGATGGTCAGCCCAGAAAATAGTGGGCTGGGTAGGTTTTGGTATGTGCCTATTGGAGTAGAAGGGCAAGAGATGAAGTTTCTGGTTAATATATAATATAATCAGGGATTTCAAGCAAATCCCACTACCTGGATCAGTAGACACAAACTTCGTTTTGGTGAAGGGGTATAAACTAAATGTGAATGTATAAGTTATGTCTGACTTTGTAAAGGATTAAGGTAGTTGTGCCCAATCTTGGATCTGTCATTGGTATCCTTGGGATGGATGTACTGCAGAACTTATTGGTATAACTGAGTGATTAACTTGATTAATTGATAATGTTTATTAGTGTTACAAAAAAATAATCCACTAATTGAAATTAAGTGTTTTCATTTATTATTGTTATTATTTCAACTATCAAAATAATTGAAATATTGGCATTATAATTTCTTTATATTACTTTTGATTAATTCAAGGTTGTTAAGTCAAATAATTAATGTCACTACTCTTGAAAATAACCAAGTAATTGAAATTAGTATTTCCAGTGTTGCTATTTTCACCTATTCATCTTATCCAAGACTTGTGATAATAATCATTTAGTTGAATGTATTAATGAGCCCAATGATTAATCTATTATCAAATTCGACTAATCACCCAGCTTTAATTATCTGTTAATTTTCATTGTGCAACTAGTGATCTGATGTTCCTTGGAAGAGTTATCTGATTCTGGCCAGATAAAAACCAGGAACAGTGGGTTGCAAGTGTTTATGTGGAAGAGGAAGTCACAGTACACATATGGTGTTCTGTGATTTACTGTGGATAAAGTCTAGTGTGTTGGTACCATGTAACATAGTTGTATTGTAGAACCCCATGCTTTTTCTTGTCCAGAAAGAAGCATTAGCTCAAGTGGTTATCTGTCTTGGGGGTGGGGGGGGTGGGGGTGGAGTCCTGGTGTTGTTCTGCAATTATGGATGATTGGTTATTTAGCTGCATGCTGAAATGGTGATTAGCACAGAAAGCAATGGGAAGTAACCAATGCTAGTGTTGTATCCATTACACCATATCCAAAAACAAATACACAATTACCAATACCTGTGATGTTACTATTTCAGGATTGTGCAGACAGTCTAAACTCAGTGCAGTAGCAGCAACTCAGTGACTTACTGGCAGAATATTCTGATTATTTGTGGAACTGAAGGAGATTGGGTTATGTAACATTCACATAGCAACATATAGATACATGAGGTTCATATCTGATTCAACAACCACCATGCAGTAGTCCTGGGAGCACTAGGAATGTAGTCATTGTTGAAGAACAGCAGATGTTAAAGAATGTTATAATACATCCTACAGAGTGTGGTTGCTTGTCTTTAGTAGTGGTTAATTTAATGGAATAAAAAACAGTACCAAGATTTGTGTTGATTTTAGGCTGGTCAGGATGATAACTCATGTTGGCAATTTCCCATTACTGCAAACAGTGAGTCAATACATTAGATCTAACATTTGGATACTGTCAAACAAAACTGATGGAAGAGAGGAGATATAGATCAAAGACTTCTTTCAGCATGAGAAATGGTTGTATAAGTTTTGTTCCTTGACATTCAGCCTGTGTAGTGCACCCCAATTTTTAGAGGTTAATAGAGATTAAACTGAAGAGGTCTCAAGGGGAGAAGTTTTTTATCTATGTCAAAAACATTTTAGTGTTTGGTTGCACATTTGAGTTTGTAGCTGTGTCACTGAAAAGGGTATTCCAGTTGTGAAAAAAGGCAGGCTTGAAACTAAATTAATACCTCAAAAATTTACATTCATGTTCAAAGTGGAATTTTTCATTCATATTGTGGGTAGAAAAGGAATTTTCATGGATTATGCTTAAATAGCAGTGATGTGAGATTGGCCTCAACCTGTGACCTTATCAAAAGTCTACAGTTTCTTTGAAGATTGCCTCATCATTAGTAGCTTTTACTAAAGCAGAGATCTACTTCTGATGGAGTTAGGATGCAAGTCTTATTGAATAGACAGACGTATTTTCGCTTGTGGTTTGATTCACTTATCCACAAGTTTTTACTTTCTTAATTTTTCTACTTTAATTACTGTTCTTTACTGTTTTCTTTCTTTAATGGAGAGTTATGAATAATTTTATATATCTTCTCTCTTCTTTCACGTCCGTGAGGTATGCACTCACAGTTTCAAGTGGTCACAACTACATCAGCTGCAACGTAATTATGCACCACATCCAAAGGGTTGGAACCACGATTCTCGGCCAGTGAAGTGACGATTTTGGTCCAATGGGAATTGACCAGTTTCATACAACAAACTGATGATTATCCTCTCATGGCTTTTAGTGATCAGGAAGTTTCCTGAATATGCCTATCAGCTTTCAGCCTCGT